TCCCCCCCGTCCTCCTCCACTTCCTCCTTCACTGCCACAACGACGGCCACTCCGGCGTCTGTAGCGCACGACTTCACCACAGCCGCACCTGACACAACAACAGGCACAACCCCTGCAACCTCCATCAACAGATGTGAGGGCCCGGACTACGTCTGCCCTCACTGCGATCGCACCTTCATCTCTCGCATCGGCCTGGTCGGTCACTTGCGAATCCATCGCACAGAGACTGGCGAACCAGTGCCTGGAGCACCAACCTACACTCACCGCACTCGCCTCCACTGCCCACACTGCCCGCGCACCTTCACGCATCGCATGGGTCTATTCGGCCACATGCGCATCCACAATGACGTGCGGTAGACAACCGCCGGTCACACCACACATTCCCTCACTCCCTACCTCCTAACATCATCACCCCACTAGACGTCAACCCTCACACACCTCATGCACTCAAATGCCGCCTCCCACGCAAGTGGGAAGTGTGCATCTCGACTCGGTCCCCATGCGGCCTCGGCTGCACGAGTGACTTGAGTCCGAGACTATCCCGACACGTCAAGTGTCGTGGATAGGAAGGTTGCTGATTGACGCCCGTTCTCGGTTCACGCAGTTCGTCACGTTGTGTGTGTGTGTTGTGTAGTGGCGGACTGGTGGGCTGGGGACGGGCTGAAGCAGCACCTTCCACGGCCCTCTCACGCATGTGAGAGTCACGTCGTTCAACCCCCGTTGTGTGAAATCCTGGTGTTTGTGTGTATGGGGGGCCAGGTCGTGCTGTGGTGCGCGCAGGCATGGTCAGTCGACCATGTCAGCCACCGCGCCCATTCCCCACTCCAGTCTACTGACTGGCTCGGACAGTGGCTGGGGTGTGGGAATGGGAAGGGAGAGTGAGGTCGACGACTCAGCGCATTTTCCTCACTATAATCAATCTGACGCGCTTGAAGCTATCACGGTGCGCTAAAAGCCGTGGCTTGGAAGGTTGTCAACTGACGGAGTACCTTGGACCTCCTCCATTACTGGAGGCGGTCTGAGAGTCAGGCTGCAATGGCTCCTTTTGAATGTGGCCTTTATGGCATTCCCACCACAGTGTGGGATCCGAGCCAGGCGTTGGCGGCACGCCCAGGTGCGGCTTCGGCCGTGCCAGCCTCCAAATCTATGTTGTGTTGGTTCAAATCCTGGTTATTGTTGTGTGGACCAGGGGGTGTGGTGGAACGCCAAGGTGAGGATCCGTCCGAGCCATCCACCTGCGGCCTCCCTCGTCTCCGGTCTTCTTGACTCTGTCTTGACACCGGGCCCAGGCGGGGGAGGAGGAGAGAGTGTAGGTAGATGCTATGCAAGTCTACTGGCACTATAAACCCCTGCGTAAGTCACCGTCCCTGCTCCCACCGCTGCTGCAGCTGTGGGGCACACGGTGGACATCGTCGAAATCGACGGTCGAACTGTCACCAGATTCCCTCATTCGGTTTAACCCATTAATCGATGCGGTTACTGCCGTGTGGCCGCTAGGGGAAGCCTAACTTCAGTGCAATACAATTATGCTCGTCAATTATTATCTAGGTACTTTATACACTCCCTTCCTCTCTATCATCCTCCCACCGTCTTGATGGTGCTCGCAATTGCGCTGGTCGAATGGAAATTGCGCGTATAAATCCTAACTTAGGATTTCGATGTAACAATACGCGTTTTCTGGTTGAACTGGGCGAGCTGATGGTGTTCATGAAGAATGACTATCGGAACTGTGGAGTCTACCGTTCGGGTTTTGTCCCTCTTAGTTGGTAATACATTCCGACAAACCAATTCAAATATTCCCGTACAAACCAAAAGGTAACACGCTGATCTGAACCGAAATCCATCAGCTACTCTGGAATAATGGCATCATATTCACAAACCGCCAGCAGATAGTCAGTAGAAGTGAGAAATCCACTTATGCTGTCAGTACGCGGATTCATTCACTATATGTGTCATTCAAATCGGAGGGTTCGAAAAGCAAAATTTACCACCCCCTTTTACCAGACCTTCTGAACATACCTCAATTTTGCGATCCCCTAACATGGCACATCTTCAGTCAACTGCCGACTGCTTTGCCATCTCTCTCAGGCCGACTGAATTTACTTATTGGAACGAGGATGGAGATACGACCTCTGCCTCATCTCCCTATTCATGCATTCCCTTATCTTCTGCTTCATTAAATTTAGAAATCATCCCCTTCCACTAATTTGAGCTCTGTCTCCATTGCTCAACTTCCGGTGTCACTTAGGGATCTTGCGCTGGGATGTTTAGAGGCTAGAATAGACTAGATCCGCCTGTTGACGTCAGTCTCAGGGCCGATTAAAGTGCGTCAATTAATTATCTTACGATGACGACAGGCACTGCTTCATGGTGGCAGTGGCAACGCAATTGCATCCACACCTACTGCAATGTTATAAGCATGCAGCGTTGCTGACTGCTTATCTGCTGGAGGATGTCATATATTGCCTCGGGGGAAGCCGGTGACGTATAGTTTGGAAGCCGAAATCGTAAATGAATACTTCTGTTTTCCATCCGAGTACGCAGGTATTAGTAGTAACAGCAGCTCCAATTAATTACTCAATATTCACCTTCGTTTAAGTAAAATCTCGGTTAGATCGCAGTTGGTAGCCAGAAATGGGGATGCGGACAGTCAGGTCCCTATTGTACGGGAATAGTGGGGAAGGGATTATATGGGTGGGGTAAATGGAAGGGCTGGCAGAGGAATGCCGGAGATCCTGAGTAAAAGTAGAGTTACCAGAAAAAGTGCTGGGAAGATTTAAGTAGGTGGAATAATAGCAGAAATTCAAACCCTACGTTTAACTCTAAAATCCAACTATGACCGAAACCGTAAAGCCTAAACCTAACCCTTAAAGTGGAAACGTAACCAAAATCCAAAAACCCAAGGCTAACCAAAATCCTAGCCATAATCCTAACCCTAACCTTGCCCCTAACCCCAAACTTAACCCTAAACCTAACTTTAAACCTAACTCTAACCTTAACTCTAACCTTAACCTTAACTCTAACTCTAACCCTAAACCTAGGCCTAACCTTAGGCCTAACCCTAACCCCAACCTTAAGCCTAACCCCAAACTTAACCCTAAACTTAACCGTAATCCTAACGGGAACCTAAACCCTAACCATAACACTGAAACCTGCCCCTAAAACGCAAACCCGAATCCTAAAACTTAACCTACGCCTAACCCTCACTAAACCCAACAGCCTGACCGAAAGGGGCGACCGGCCTAACTCAGTATGAGCACACCTACTGATAAGAAGTTCCCTAGACAAGGTAAGCACACCTACTGATAAAAAGTACGTACCTCGACAGTATCAACGTATAATGTCTGGCTACCAACTGCGATCTTGCCAAAATCTCCGGCGTAACGCACTTTTCGCGCAAACAAACCTGGGGAGGGAATTTTTGTGCGTTGTTACTGTGAGATAGCTTAAGGTTTTTGCTACATAGCAAATCAATTAGCAGCTCTCACTGGGGAAGTGCTTAGTATTTCGCGAACTGGATTCACAACACTAAGTGTAAAAATGCGCACCTGAGCTAGCCTGCGGTGTTCTGTCGAAAGCAGTTTTGCAGTTTTGCCTCTTTCGCCTCGAGCCGAGATCTGAGCCGGTTTGCTGTACCTCGGATGGGCCTGCAAGGTGAACTGCAAGGCTGATATCCTCAAGGCTGAGTTCCTCAGTTTCATAATCAAGTTGGTATATTTTTAAAATTCATTGTTTCTTTACGTTGTTCCGCTAGCATCATACAAATTAAGGAGCGTGTGTGGTTTGGTAGCCCCACTTGAAGTAAACACACCATAGTTGTCTATAGTACTGGAGCAGAAGTAAAAGGGGTTTTTAGATGTGGACCAAGGGAACGCACAGGCCACGATGTAAAGAAGTTGTATGAAAACGAAAAGTTATTGGGAGTGCGTGGTTGTACAATTAATGGTTGAGAAATAGTTGCGCTCACCCCTAACCCTAGTTCCAAACTATAACCCCTAATTCTAAATCCAACCACTAACCCCAACCCTAATCCCTGAGTATACCATCTAACCGCTTAGCATAACCCCGAACCCTAACCGTTAACGACAACCGACATCTTACCATATTTAGTTTGTCCTGCAGCGAAAAGTGCACTAGTTCCCGGATGGTATTTAATAAACTGCCATGTAGCTGCGTGTTGGCACACTACTCTGTCCTTTGGTCTGCATGCTGAATGCATTCTGGAGGAGAAGGCATCTTATATCCTCTCTCCTCCTCCTCCTCCTATACCTATCCGAGGTTTGTGGATAAACAGAGTCAGGACAGTCGGAGATCGGTTCGGGCGCAGTGGCTAAACAGCTCATCTACGCGTGCCAACCATGGCTTTTTCCTGGCAAAGAGGACAGCTCCGATCTCGCTTGTGCGATAGTGGCCCCCAAACCGTAATAGGAAAAAGCCATTGAAGCCTTTCTATCGGTCGTGGGGAGAGGCCGAATTATGCTGCCATTTGGTAACTCTCCATGCCACGACTCTTGGCATATCGCGATAGATTCAAGCGTTGATGTGATTTGAGAATGAATTCCACAATTTGAGTCCCAGTCTCTCTCTCTCTCATTATC